CCGCCAGCCTGCTCAAGTCCTGGGCCATCCCTTTCCTGTTGGTGGACGTGAGAGATGCTTTCCATCACAACGTCGCTGCCCTCCGTGCCGCCGTGGAGAGTGGTAAGGGCTCAACTGATTTCCACGGCCTTCCCCCTGCACGGGGCCCGGCGGGTCGGCTCTCGTACCCCTGCCAGTGAGTGCAGCAGCTCGGAGGAACTCGGGGAGTAGCAAGGCACAGGGTACTGAAAATGCCTCTTCTGCCCAAGTGATGTTTTTCTGTCTGGAAAACAACTACTTGGCTCTGGGAGGACCCACGGAGTTTAAGCCAATTGCACGTCTGCTGGGAAAACTGAGCAAAAACTACTTGGATGGTCCTTTTTGCGATGGTGACTAAGCTAAAACCAGCAGCAGCTGGAAGGGGTGAATTGAATGTCTTTATCTGGTACTTGAAATGTCAAGCAGCTCAGCAGTGAGGCCCTGGATGATAAAATCCTGTTGGTGAGCTGCTCAGGCTTGTCTGGGGTCTCACTTGAGACCGGGCTAACCCTATTGCTCCAGTCACTGGGGATTTAGGGGGAAAAAAAATCTCATGCTCAAGGCTGGGAACAAGCATCAAAAGGATGTCAAGAGCTTGTTCTGAGAGGCAGATAACATGACAAAACGCCTCCGACATCCTGCCTGAAATGCCCCTGACCACAGTGGAGCACTTAATGGCAAATCTGTACAGGAGATTCTGCCTGGGGACCAGACACAAAGCAATCTAGCTGAGGGTGTCACCTGGCCTCTGAGGAGCTGATCTTGTCACCAAATCTGAGCCAAAGGTCCTGAAGCTCATTGCTGGGCAGTGATAACGCACAGCAGAGACCCACCCTGTGGTCCAAGGTGCACACAATGCTTTTTTTCTGAGCAAAGATGGCATGAGGGGAAAAGGGACGAGAGGTTTGTTAGCCCCCACAGAGGGAGATTGCCTCTCTGTTGTCTCCTCTTACCACAGGATTTGCCAAGAAGACTTTCATCTCCTATTCTGTCACCTTTGGGGACAGCTTCCGACAAGGCAAAGTTGTTGGCATAGACCCTGGGAGGCAACAAGTCTTGCTCAGTGACGGTGAGGTGGGTGATGCAATAACTTGCAATGAGTAACTTGGCTGCCTTATGGAATCACCTACTAACGTGGGGAGTCAGCCTTCAGCAGGGCGTGTTGTAAATCTCTCCTTCTTAGGGTGTATTTTCAGCTATGCCTTGGCTGCAAGAACACAGTATTCCAAATCTAGGCTATGTTGGCTTTGACTGGCAATGTGTCCGGTTGGAGAAGTGACTTGGAATTTAGGTTTCAGACTGCTGTCCATGCTTGGAGTCCTCTGGGGGGAAAAACCGAGATGAGCAGGAGCACGGGGCACCTACAGAAAACGTGCCTCTGAGCAGGAAGAGGAGTGTAACTCCCATCTGTCAGAGGAGGGTGTGCACATGTGCAGGGCAGAATCATGCTCTGGGAAAAACAAACTGTCTTTTGCCCTTGAGTTGGACGAGAACTGGGAACGCTGTTCGGTTGCTGCAAACACCCCCATACCTCCTACAGTGCAGCTCAGCTGAGCACACGAACCCTGACCGATCCATACCCCTGGGCTCAGAGTTGACACACACAACAGGATTCCTGTTCTGATGTAACCCTCAGCTTGGCTGAAACGCCTGACCCCAAACAAGCCACAAGCCAAGCCCTCTGGGAAGGCAGTGGTTGCTTTCCTCTAGGTTTCTACCACCTGTGGGCAGATATACAAATGCTTGTGCTTAACACTGACTCTAGGAGGTAGAAAGGAATGAAACCAATGACCTAGTTGTATGGAGGGATGCCCCAGACAGAAGCAGGACCCCAACCATCTCCCTTAAAACC